ACTCTTCTCACTACAGAATGTTTTCGTGTCCACGAATATACGACCATTAATGACAAGTCAATCCTTCACGAGTGCTCGGAACTCAAGTTGGGTCAAATTACTGTTTTACCCATGAGTTACATTTTACTCCTTAAATACCACTACTCCTCTAATGAACAACCTGGTTATGGTCCGACGAATAACCGAAAGTCCCTATCGGGCCAATGAGAGGGTGGGGCCCCTTGTTCAAGTCCCAGAGTCAGCATTTAAGAGAACACTCATCTACTCCCCAAAGTCGAGGAGGAGTGAATTCTATCTTGTGAACTTATGTTCCTAGCTCTCCAGTCGGTCTCATCCCTAAAATGGTAAGAATATTGAGTCGGCAACTTGGGTCACTCTCACCCATACAGATCAAAGGACGAGCCCTCACGGGTAGGAGTCCATAACTCACTCAGGATTGAGAATGAGTTGTTTGGTCATCCTATAAAATAACAATCTGTTAGTCAACGGTGTTACGTCTAAAGATTGTCTATTTCACAGTCCGATCTTATACATACTCATTGTATAGGATACCCTCACTCGCTTGTCTCCACACGAACGACCTGGATCGAGTCGTCTGTAACATTTACAAAGTGGGCCGTATCCATAGTGTTGCCAAGATAAGGTACCCAGCCTTATCCATATACTATAGACCCTTTAGGTTATTCATGGGACGTTATCCACTCGTATATCAGGGGTATATCAAATATATACCTAGTATATCAAATATATACCCAGTATATATACTGTCCTGGTTACATGAAAATAACTTTGGATGTTTAATTTATTGGATTTTGGACAATACAATGCTATGAATTCAACAACAAATTTATTGAATATACACTTGTTTCTACATAAATACAAACTACGAGTTTAGGGCAACACACTCAACAAACTCCTACTTCAACTAAACTCGAGTGGGATGTACATTATCATAAGACAAAAGGGAAAATATAATAAACTAGGGCATACACTATACCCGTTACAGGACCAGCCCTCAAATGCGCAGCTAGAACATACCCTGTCTGTGGTTGCTCACCCTAGAGCATCCCTAAACATTGTCCTGTAAGGAGCCAACTCTCTGCCATCCAATTTCATCACACCTGCAGCCAATGTTTGACTTTATTTCCTCAAGAGCAGAATCATGCCTACAACGCATGATTCTTCAGTGACGAAGGAGAGGGTCCTCCTCTTAACCTGCTTGATGGAAGGAACGCAGCTGGACCTTGGGCAAATTATTTTTTAGGAGATAGCACAATGTGGTACTAAGAAACTTGGCTGGCTGTTTTTCCCAAACTTAATTTCTAAACTGTGTATGCAGGCTAATGCTCCGGTCGTGCAGGATAAGGAAGTACTCACGGAAAAAAGGGTGTTGGACAAGCCACTGGTGGATCGGCTCATGGCCACTAATCGAAAAGCAGAAGTGCTGTCCTGATTGGAGCCATCAATGAAATGATGGCTCATCAAACGCGCATCTCAACGGAAATAGGGGAGCTGAAGGAAATGGTTGTTGCTTTAACACAGCAGCTAGCAGTCAGAGATGCAGAGCTCAAGGGCATGATTGAAAAGCTTGCCCGTTCGGGTGCCTCAAGCTCTTTAGTGCAGCATCGGTCTTAGATTCTCTGCTAGAGCACAACTCGAACAACATAACTCAACGATATCTTGAACAAATTAGAAAGGATGAGTGTCAAGATTGAGGAAGAAGTGAAGGCTATAAGGTTGTTGACATCTTTGTCTGACAGTTGGGAGACGATGAAGACCGCGGTGACGAATTCGCTAGGAGAAAATAGCTTGAAATTTTCAGCTATTTGTGATGCCGCCTTATATGAGGAAGCTCGGAGAAAATTAGGGAAAATGTCTACAACTACTTCAGGGGCATAAAATGAGATTGAATCAGCTTTGGTAGCTCAGTTAAAGGGGAAGGGCAAGATGAAGTACAACGGGAAGCAGGAACATAGGAATAACAGGGTAGTGGGAGTTCCAGTGGAGAAGTTGAATGTTTTTACTGCCATAAGAAGGGTCACTTCAAGAAACACTGCAGGAAGCTTCATGAGGATCAGGAAAATGATGACACTTTAAATTACGTATCAGCAGAGGTGTTAGCTTGTATTGAAGGTAACACAACACCTGTAGACCGGTCATCAGAGTGGGTAGTGGACAGTGCAGCTTCGGTGCATGTAGCTTCAGACAGGAGTTGGTTCACATCCTTTACTGTAGGAAAGCATGACACTGTGAGGATGAGAAATGAAAGACTTTCCAAGATCATAGGAATTGGGGATGTTCGTCTAAGGACTGCCAGTGGGACCGAGTTAGTTTTGCATGGTGTCAGGTATATACCCAGTTTAAGGATGAATTTGATATCAGTGGGGAAGCTGGATGACGAAGTTTACAAAAGTGAGTTTGCAGATAATAGATGGAAACTCATGAAGGGATCCGAGATAGTGGTTGTTGGCAACAAAAAAGCTTCAGTGTATGTGTTGAGGTTAAATGTTGCCAAAGGATCAGAGAGACAAGCTATGCACAGGGCTGCAGATAGTCCAGGAGGAGACTTGAAAGAACTAGCAGCATTGACAGTCCACTAGTGGCGAAGAAAATTTCTACCATCCCACCCAAAAACAACTCGGAGCCTAAACTAAAGAGAAGAGAGTTCAGTCTACAAGAAGCTGGCAGAGCTTTAGCCATTGGATCAGAAGAATCTGCCATTAGTTCAAGTATAACAGTTGGGAAGTAGAGGAAAGGGAAAGATGAACAACTCATTGAGGCGTTCAACAGACTGTTAGTTTCAAGCCCCAATTGTCAGACAGATTAGCGAGTTGATGAAGTTGCGTAGGCGAAAAGGTGCATTGAGAAAGACTACAGTTGGTGCTGAGGTCGATGGTGAAGTCTCTATAGTGGCAACGGACTTGGGTGGGAATGCCAAGTCATCAGTGAAAAAGCTTTCCTTCAAGAGTCGTTGGGTGAGAGTGAAGAAGGAAGTATCTGGGACCACTTAGTTCAAGTGGGAGCACGTGGCTGTGTCTCTAACGTTTGGGAGACAAGACCACATAGGATTGCTCAATCTCAGAGCAATCATAGATGAAGCCTTGGTTGGTGCCAAGAAGACGTCGTTCAGTTGAAAGCTGTTGGTGCAGTCAGAACTGAGTCATGAGGGACACTGTTGTTGCGGTGAGAGGCGAGATTGTTGTTTTGTCTCCAAGTGGGAGTGGGATTGAAGACAAGGCAATGGGAAAGAAAGAATGAAAAGAAAAAAAAAAGAGGTCAAGCTGCTGTTAAATGTTGGGCCTAAAAGAAATAATAAACACAAGGCCCAACTATTAAGTTATTCATAAATTTAGGTTTAGCCGTGAGTTAAAAAAAAACCAACACTACAAGAATATTATCCTTTCCCAACAAAAATTTTATCAACGTTAAAAAAGTCGTCGGGAGAAGCCATTTTCTCCCAACGAAAATAAACTCATAGGGACAATTATAAGTTTTGCTGACGTTACTACAGAAACCTTGGGAAAAAGTCTATATTTGCCAACGTTTTCTACATAATGTTGGCAAATATTCAATTTCTTGTGACGTTTTACAAAAAAAAAACGTTGGGAATATGAGCAAATAAATTCAAACACACCAAATATGCCATAAATATTCCGACGTTTTAATAAAAACGTGGGACAAATATCCCTTCTCCCGACGTTTTTACAAAAACGTTGGGTGAATATCACTCATTAAACCTTGAAAATGACTGCCACATTCATCACAGTTTTAAAAGATTTCTCCCAACGTTTTTGTAAAAATGTTGGGATAATATAATGTATCCCAACGTTTTTTAAAATAACGTTGGGGGAAAGATAATTTATCCCAACTTTTTTAGAAAAAGTTGGGAGAAATCTTTTAAATTCCTAAATCTCATCTTTTACCAACGTTATTATAAAATGTTGGGAGAGGTTCTCGGATACCAACTTTGGTTAGAAAACGTGGGGAGAAATTCTTGGATACCAACATTTGTTATAAAACGTGGGAGAGGATAATGTATAACACCGAGATAATCTTTTAATACTTCTTTTTTTTGTGACAATCTTTTAGAACGATTTAAATCTTCAACATTCTATCTTTCCCCAACGTGATTTTAAAAAATGTGGGGAGAGGGTAACTTATCCAAAAGTTTTTCAAAAAGTTAGGAGATATGATAATCTTTTCCAACATTATTTTAAAATTGTTGGAATAAATTAAATTCTTGGATTTTCTAATTTCAGAGTTATAATTTTGGGTAAATTAGAACTTAAAGTTTAATTTCCCTCGTCTTAGGTTTGACCCCCACCCCACATTTTTTTCGTTTCTTTTTTTTTGTTTTTTTTTTTTAATTTCTTGACTTACGTTTTTTCGTTTTGTTTCTTTTTTATTTTTTGTTTTTTTTCTATTCTCCTGACAAAATATCTCTTAAACTGCTCCATTTCATTTTCTTAAAAAATGTGTTTTAGCCTTGTGATCAAATCTTACCTCCCTATGTTTTACTTGTTATTGTTATTTTTTTATCAAAATATGTTCAATTCTTAAAAAACAAAGTTTTTTTTTGAACAAAATATGTCTAATTCTTCCTCCGGGTTATCTTACTTTAAGATTTAAATTGTGTCTTTGAATTTTCCCGTAAGCTGATAATTTAAATCCTTGAAATTTTATAATTTTGAAGCTCTAATTTGTTATAATTAAAATTTAGATTTAATTTCGTTAGATTAAGATAAATTAAGTTTTTAAATTTTGTTAAGAGATTTTTAATTAAATCTTAATCCAAAGTTTTGGAAATTTAATTCTCACTTTTAGATTTTATTGGTTTTAATTTTAAATTAATCAAAATTTTAGTATTTTCCCAGATCCATGTAAAGAAAGTTGGTTTTCATATTAGAAAGGATTAGGAAAAACTCTTTATTTATAAAGCCACAAATCTTATTTTGTTATATTCTTTTTGTGAGGTAAAAAGAAAAGGAGAGAAAAGAAAACAAAACAAAACTAAAGAAACCCTAAACACATCTTTTCCTCCCCATCTTTTTCCCTTTCTTATTCTTCTTTCTTCTCCTTCTTCCCCTTCCTAACCCTAGTCGCCGCCCTCCCCCTCCCGTTCTTCGACGATCAACCCCTTCTCGTTCTCCGACGACGCAACAGTGCGGCGGAGGCGGCGATATTCGATAGTGCAACGGCGATATTCGACAGTGCAGCGGCGGCAGGCTTCGACAGCGCGGCAGCGGCGGTCTTCGACAGCAGCAGCAGCACCTCCGGCGGTCTTCGACATTAGCGGCGATACGTTCATCCCGGCGTCCCTTGGCAACACGAAACTGCGGTCGTCGACGTGGGTATCTAGCAACAGCGGTCGGCGCACAAAACCACCGGCGGTAACAGTGGTGTTTTAGATCCCGCGACCACGATTCGTAAAGCAACAGCAGTGGCAACTACAAACAGCCCGAATCCGACGACTCCATGCCCCAATTTGCTTGTTTTGAGTTACCCATCCCCTTCGTATTGGTTTGATGTTGACCCACTCCTATCTGGACCCAAATTGACGTTACCCACCCACTTTGGCACTGACCCACTACTAACCCAAGTGTTTTTAGGGTGAGTTAATAGGTAACGACTCACCTAACTTTAGTTTCGGTTCAATTTAAGTGGTTTTAGTTAGTTTCTAACCTAAGTTTATTTGCTTTGATTTAGGAACACTTCAGTGAGTTTAGTAGCGCGTTAGGAATTTGTATGTTTTAACTCTTTATGCATGTTGGATATGTTTATGGATTATACTGACAATTATACTCTTGGATTGTTTGTCAATTATACTCTTGCATTGTTTGTCAATTATACTCTTGGATTGTTGTGTTTATGAAAACATACTGAGTTTAGTGAGATTTGTTATATTGTGAAAGCATATCCGTATATTGTTTCGTGATAAGTATATTGTCTGACACTTTTTTATTTTTAAATTTAAATGACAAACAAAAACGAAAGGTTTTCTTCTGTTCCATTATATATTATATGTTATATATTATACAATCTATTTTTTATGGGTGGATTTAGAATTATTTATTTTCATCGGAAAAGTTAGTCACCACATGGTTAGGTAGTGTGTTTGGATGTCCCATAGGTTTATGATAAAGTTAATGAAATCTTTTATCAAATTTCAACAGGATTGAACTTTAAAAGTGCTAAAAACTTTATCGCAAATTACTTTTAATAGTATAATTGGAAGATGGATAGAGATTGGATTAAGCTAAGAGATAGGTTTTCAAGAGGGTATGTATGTTGAAGAGGTTTTAAAATTTATAGAGGTTACCAAATTTCATGTTAACGAGTTGGGAAAAACGAGATGTCTGTGCAAAAAATGTCAAAATGTATTATGGCAACTACTGGATGTAGTGGAACAACACTTATTCATTAATGGGATATCTCCTACTTATAGTCAATGGATACATCACGGAGACCCTTTGAACTTAGATCGATATTCAAGTGACACACCGTCGTCCCATGATGACTTAAGTAGAGAGTGTAATGTTACCAGAGAAGAAAATGAGGTGTTCGATATGCTAAACGAAATGAGAGGTCCAATGATAGAAGAGGATGAAAACGTAGAAGATTTTGTATATGAGATGCCGGCACAGGGTTTTGAAAGAGACAATTCGAATGAGTTTGAGGATTTGATGAACGAAGTAAGTCAAGAATTGTACCCTAGTTGTACACAAGTTACCTCATTGGAATTTTTGATCAAGTTGATGCATATCAAAGTGCTTAATAAGTGAAGTAATACATCATTAGATATGTTACTCCAATTATTGAAGGTATAGTTTGCTACTTAATCTAACTTTGTAATCTTGATGATGTTTTGAGTCATACGTTGTCGTAGGTATGCTGGGAACTAGTCAAGAATTGGCCGGTGATATATTCGAGGATGCACAACGGGATGAAGAGTTTGGAGATGGACCTGAAGAAGACGCCTCCCGTTAGTATTTCATAACTATTTTGTGGTGTGTTAGTACTTCATAAATATTGACTTAACCAAATTATTTTCTGCAGGTAACACCGGTCGATTGGGTGTACAGATGCATACTCGTTATGTTGACTTAGACAAGGAGGTGACAAAAAATGGGAGAATCAAAATTGTTATTGACGAGAACCATGATAAGCTAGTATGTGCAAATGCTACACGGTTCTCGAATACTATAGGCTCTGTTGTTAGAGAAAATATTAGTCCGGTGGAGTACACGAAGTGGAATGAGGTACTAGAGGAAATGATAGGAAAAGCCATCAAACGCGTAATTGTAAGCAATAATATTTTTACTCAATTCATTAAAATGATACAACATATATATGTTTATTAATTATAATGTTATCGTTTCAAAACTGGTTCGACGTGAACATCTCAGAGGCAAAGATGAATAAATTCGTCTTTAAGCATATTCAATTGACATTTAAGAAGTATCGGGCAGAATTGTAGCCACATCGACGAATTGAGAAGCTAGATGATTGGTACAGGTCGTGCGATAAATGGGAAACTCCTGAATGGAAGGTACGCTCCCATTTTTCCATATTACAACTTTAAGTAACATGTTAGATTGTGTATTGATCGCCAATTGTTTTTTTTTCATAATTAAGGAAAAATCAGAGACAAACAAAACGAGTAGGTCAAAGGTCACTTACAATCATCGGGTCGGGTCTAAAACATTCGACCGTATGCAACAAGAACTGGTAATATTGACAATTACACGTATTATTACTGTATGTTCTGCACTGACAGATGAAATTCATGTGAAATGTAGAAAGACAAACTTGGCGTGGAGATCGGTCCCGTCCAAATGTTTAAAGAGACGAGATATAATCCTGAAAAAGGATGGGTAAACCCCATGTCGAAATAACATATGTAAGTTTTAGTTTGTTAATTATACATTACGAGTATATGAAATTACAGTATTGCTTCACAGTGCATGACTCATTTGTGCAGAAAGCGTCAGAAGACATGAGGGATGCATCTGTACCAGAAGGGACCGATCCGCCAACAGAAGCAGATTGTTGTCGAACTGTATTCGGTCCTCGTTCCAGATTCGTCTGAAGCATGGGGTTGGGCCCAGCACCAGGAGGAAAAGAGGAAGCTCATCCAACAATCCAAGAGTCATGGAGGAACTAAATGCGACGAAAGACGAATTGAGGGAGACTAAAGAACGATTGGACAATACCGAAAATCGCTTAAGTCGAATTGAAGAATGTTTAGCCAAAAATCTACGAGAGTTCAATAACCTTAAAAACTTATTCGAAAGTTTCATGAGTCAATCCTCAGGCGGCTCATTCCCTATGTCTGAATAGGCATAAAGCATTTACTTAGGTTTTTGTAGCTTTTGAAATATATTGAACGTGTAATTTCAAGAATCTTTGGAACACGTGAACTTTGATGATATTTTGGTACTTGATATTTTGGTTTATGATATTTTGGTATTTGATATTTTGGTATTTGATTTTCAAATGAGGTCTCTCAAGTATGTCAGGATTGAAATCAGCCTATTTTTTTTTAAAAAAATTAAAATAAATATTGCCAACGTTTTTGGTAAAAACGTCGGTAAGATTCTAAATATACCGACGTTTTCAAAATGTTGGTAAAATAGTAGACCTGCCAACGTTTTTCGAAACGTTGGTAGAATAGTAGATTTGCTGACGTTTTTCAAAACGTTAGCAGAATAGTAGATCTACCAACGTTCTTCAAAACATTGGGATAATAGTATATCATGGAAATTTTTGCCAACATTTTGAGAAACGTTGGCAGGTGTAAACTTTTGCCAACATTTTGAAAAACGTTGGTAGATGAAAACTTCTGCAAACGTTTTCAGAATTTTGACAACTCTGTCAACATTTCTATAAAACGTTGGTAGAAGTTTCTATTTGCCAACGTTTCTTTAAAACGTTGGTCGATCTGTCGACGTTTAGGAAACGTTGGTGGAAAGTCAGCGCTACCGATACTTTTGAACGTTGGCAAAAGTATTGTTCTGCCAACGTTTTTTAAGAAACGTCGGCAATATGCTTTCCCAACGCACTTCTGGCGACATTTTTGCCAACGAATATTTATCGTTGGGAGAAACTACTCCCAACGTTTTTTTGGTCTTTTCCCAACATTTTATAGCGTTGGAAAAATTAAAATTCTTGTAGTGCAAGAAGGGAGTGGGGGCTGGTGGTTTATTTTTTGGGTGGCAATAGCTTGTTGGCAGAGAAGAAAAAAGGAGAACAAGGGTTTGTAGAGCATCGTCGGCAACCCGTTCTCTTGAGGTTAGTAAGGTTTTTCATTTTGTAATCTTAAGTAGCAATTGTCGTAGTACTTAGAAGCTAGGTGACCATTGTTGTGGCATCTAGAGAGAGCTTTGTAGAACGCTTGTAAGACTCATGTATTTATCCTAATATCATAGTACAACCCGTTGTCGCTGAAGACTAGACGTAGCCCATAGTTGGGGTGAATCAATATAAATTGTTTGTGTCGTTATTGTGTTTTTCCATATATCTTTTATTATTGTGTGACTTAGTTTTCACTGACGAACCGTGGAAGGAAAAAATATTATTGGTAAGTAAATTTTTCCAACAGTAAGAAATAAGGTGTATTTTTGTGAATAATTAATACAAAAAATATAAAGCATTCTACCTATACAATCGGTAGGAACTCAACATATAGGCATCTCTTTCCTTCATCACCCGCCGCCCCACTTGCAACCATCTCTATCACCCACTACATTACCCCACCATTGTTCCCTCGCCTGATTCTGTCAATTTATAGTATCGCTTAACAAGATCTTCTTTTTCCCTGGCTGGATTTCCGCTGTCTCCCTTTCTCTCCCTTGATCAACTCTCGCTTTGATTGTTTTTCTCTGGTCATCGCCCTCATTGATCTTCTTTTGTGTAATGTCTCCTAGTGAGTTCTGTCTCAACGTATATATCAAACAATAATGGTTAAAAAAACTAGAATCAATGAGAGATAAAATCTAGAAAAGATAATAACGGAATTTAGGATATTTGATTATAAAAATAATAACCAAAATAAAAAAAGGTAGAAGTATCAAGATCAAAACTACAAAACAATTACAGAAAAATATAAATAGATATTTTTTATTATCAAATATCATTTGACAATTTTTCAAAATCGAATGATAAATAGGATAACTACCGATAAATTCTCAAAAATAATTTTGGTGGGCAAAGAAGCTGCTCAACCCAAATTCCCTTGATTTTTCATGATAAAAATGGGGAAATACAAATTTAGTTTTCTTTTAACAAAAACAGTTTGTGTGTATCGGCCATTATGAGACTCAACAGCAACAGTATTTATACACGCGGCGAAAAGCTAACCGCTAAGTCCACCTACTTTATCCCCAAACAAAAAGCCTTCACCACTCCCTCTTAGCTCCACACAAACGAAATAATCAAACAAATTTTGAAATGCCGAGATCAGCCAACGGATCAGATGCCTCCTTCGCAATTCTCATCACCGGAGTCAGCAAAGGCATCGGCCGAGCTTTGGCGTTAGAGTGCGCTAAGCGCGGCCACACTATCATCGGCTGCTCTCGTAGCCAGGACAAGCTCGACTCTCTTCGAACACAACTCCTCTCTCCAGACAAACATTTGCTCTTCAACACCGACGTGGTTTCATTTCCTTAAACTCTCCTTATATTTATAGAGTTTTATCTCAATATTAATTGGCCCATAGGAGCAATTCACATCAAAAGTTTTTGATTTGGCAGACGTCGAATAGTAGCGTTCAGGATCTAGTTAATGCTGTCTTGGAAAGAAATCTTATTCCAGATATTCTCGGTATTCCATATATATATTCTAACTTTTCAATGAACTCCCATGAGTTAATTAGTTATTTCCTGAACAAATTTAGTTTTATGGCAGTAAATAATGCAGCTGTGGTTAATGAAAAGTCCAAGTTCTGGGAGATTCCAATGAACGAATTTGATTCTGTCATCGATACAAACGTAAAAGGGACAGCAAATGTACTCCGTCATTTCATTCCTCTTATGATTGCAAGCGAGAAGAGAATTATTGTTAATATGTCTTCCGAATGGGGAAGAATGGGTGCTCCTATGGTCGGTAAATAATTCCTTAACCAGTTTAACAATACTTAAACTCTGAGTTTAGTTACGATCGACGTAGTTTTTGCAGTTTTCGCCTTATAGCACTTCAAAGTGGGCGATTGAGGGTTTGACCAAATCAATAGCACCAGAATTGCCAGAGGGAATGGCTATTATTGCGCTTCATCCCGGTGTTATAAACACAGACATGCTTGTTACGTGCTTCGGTGATTTGGCTGCTAACTACCAAACTCCAGAACCATGGTAATATATACATATATATATATATATATATCAGTTGATAAATTATTGTTGACTCAATATATATACACAAGGTTAAATATACAATTTAGTTTCTAATTTTATTTTTTAAATTTTGTTCCTAATCTTTTAAAATTTTCAATTTAATGTATTAAGTCTTTTCAATTAAGAACTTAATATATCCACCGACATTAAAAGAATTATAACATGAGAATTTAAAAATAATATTTTTAGTATGGTTGCTATTTTTTTTTTCTGAAAAAGTATGGTTGCTAGTTGTTAACATAACGGCATTCTAACAAGAATAACTTATTGTAATTATAAGTTCAGAGTATTTTCAAATTTATGAATGAACAATAATGTACCTAGTATATTTTAAATTAATAAAATATGAGACAATATCAACTCAATTAATAAAACATATTTTAAGTTAAATTATCGCTTTATTAATGAATATTCTTATTGATTAGAGAGATAATAAATACTTAATTAACAAGAGGTTGTGAGTAAAGTGATAATTGGCATAAACCTCTCCAATATGTTAGTACTAAAAAACCTTAATTAACAAAATATTAACGAATAAATGATAAATTGAAACACTTAAAAGATATATATTTTTTTTAGTATAGTAGGAGTGAAGATTTAAACTCATGATCTATCGATTAGAGAGAGGTATTAATTACCAATGAGTTAAGCTATTAATTACCAATGAGTTAAGCTGGTGTTGGTCCAACATTTAAAAGATAAAATAATCCCCTACTTCTTTTTCTTTTTTTTTTAAGTACAACATGTCGGGATGAGAGATCAAACTCGCAACTTCTTCATTTGAGATATATGTCAATTACTGTTGAGCTATGCTCACTTTGACATCTCTACCTATTGTTGAACTATATATATATATAGACACACACACACTATGATATTCCTTATTGATCTATTGTATTTTACTCTTTCGGGTGCATTAATTATGATCCGTTTTTTTATTCACTTTTGAGTATATGTCTAATTTATTTTAGGCTTGTTTCAATGGTTAATGAATATCTACCTCTAACATTTTTAGTCTAAGATATATGTGTGAATTAGTTGAGCTATACACATGTTGACATATAACACCTTGTCAACTCATTATCTTTTAGTTGATGATAAGTATCTTAACCATTTGAGTTGCGCATAAATTAACATATACACCTTATAATTTACGTTATATATTTAGTCATTGATTACAAATATCACCACACATTGAACCACAATACTAATTAATAGTATGTTTTGTTTTAGACATACTTGGAACAGACGTAGTTACTTTGAAGATTGACTGAGAACTAATAAAGTAATTTGATTGATACCAGGGCGGTAAAAGCCAGCACGATGATTCTGAATTTTACATCTGCTGATAATGGAGCATCTCTGAGTGTTGATGAATAAGGTAAATTTTACAATTTTTACCTTCTTAGACAATTTTATCATCTAATAAGTTTTTCAAATTTGTATAATAAGTTACAATGAGAGGTAGAGTGTACCCTCTCCTATAGAGAAGATAAATACGAACAAAAATTACTTTGTTGGGATAGGAATCAAAAAGAAGTTGTAATATGATCACCCTTTTATATTCGAGGATTTGGTTGACATATTTTTATCAATAAAATGTTAATTTATATAATATGTTTGTAAGGACCTGTTTGGTAATGTTACCATTTCTTATTTCTCATTTTCAATTTTATTACGAATCTTAAATATTTTGCAACTAATTATGCATCTTGTTTTTCATTTTTTTTATTTTTGGTAAACGCTCTCAAAATTATATAGTACTTTTGGAAACAATCAAAACATGTTTCTTGTTTCCGTTTCAGCTTTATTACAAAACACAAATATAAATATTGCTGGGCAAAATACATTTTTTGTCCCTGAGGTTTGAGGTAAGTGTCTACTTGATCCTTGAAGTTTGAAAATGAACATGTTTGGTTCTTGAGATTTTAATTAGGTGTCAACTTGGTCCCTGAAATTTTAAAATGCACTTTTTGGTCCATAAAATTTGAGAAATAGTTCTAAATGGTCCCTCTTTCTCACGCGAATTGTAGCTAAATTGTTTATTGTAGTTGTTGATGTGGCAAATTCTATGTGTGTGGGTGACGATATTTTCTCTCTCCTCTCCTCATCTATTCCTTTCTTTCTCCTACCATTTTCCGGCGACCACCACATCTTTGTCGTGCCGTCGACCATTTATATCGGACATATATCATTTAATTAATATATCAACAACTACAATAAATAATTTAATTGCAATTTGCCATATTATTTTAATATTAGTTAATTAACAGTAAAAAAAAATCAGGGACATTGAGAACTATTTCTCAAATTTCAGGGACCAAAAGTGTTCATTTTAAAACTTCAGGGACCAAGTTGACGCCTACTTTAAACCTCAAGGATCAAAAGTGTAACGACCCGACTTTTTGGAACTTAATTGCTAAGGAACGTTACAACAATGCATGCTTTAAATATTTTTAAAAAATTTTTGAATAAATAAATGGTAAGAAATAAAATATAATCTCATAACGTAACCTTATAAAATAAAATAAAAACTTTATTTGGGGGTCCCATAAAAAAAATTTACATAAAACATAATATTAAGATAAATGACTCTTAATACAATAAAAAAAATAAAAAACATGAAACTAATAACTAATGCGGAAGCAAAAATCCATGGCACTACTTGTAAACATCATCGTCACACATCTTGTACGTCTTTATTAGTCCCTAAAAAAATGAGGGAGAAAGTGATGAGTATTAAAAATATCCAGTAAGTAACCCAGTTAACGGGGTTAGATATACATACACATACAACATGAACATGTGGGACCTAAATATTTATTCAGTTAAATTCTTTTCCTTTTTCCTTTTCCTTTCCTTTCCTTTTCGTCAAAGTGAGCAATTAACCCAACCCTATAAATACGATACCAACTCCATTATGGTAAATAGGTGGATTTCCTGAGAAATTCTACTCAAACTGATAGTAGTAGGCACCCAGTCAGCAGAACCAAGTCTCACCCACCTAGGTTTTCTCAATTTCAGTCTAGTATGTGCATTAGAGTAGGGTGGTTGCCACAACTTTTATATATATATATATATATATAAACAGTTTTACATTCAAGATCATGCATGAGGTCCCATAAGTAAACATTCTGTAATGAAGCACAACAATTGTACATAACATTCAATTCATAAACAGCAACCATCACATAGCAATTCAAAACATCATGTAAAAATTCCAACCTAGTCCTAAGGCCTTCCGAAAGCAGAGTCACTTACTTTAATAGCGATCCAAAACAAATGTTGGTTCAATCCACGAAATTTACTCGCTCGATCTAAGTCAATTTCACAAAAAATATAAGAAAAGTTGCTATAAGAAAAAAAGGAAAATATTTGGGGAGAATGATGGGATACGATTTAGGTTTGGTTTGAGGATCCTATTTATAGGATTGTGAAACCTTGATTTGAATATGATGTAAATTCAAATTAAAATTAAAATTAAAAAAAGATTCTATTTATCTCTATTTTATTTCTCTTTTTGAATTAGGAAATATCTTAAAGTATATTTTGATTACTTTAAAACTTAATTTTAAACCAAATAGTTTTAAGTATTACTAATTTAATTAATAAAAGATTTTTTATGGCCAATTAAAAAAATAATCGAAATACCAATTTTCCCATATATAAAAATTACAAAAATATGGGACGTTACAATGCGGTATGTCTTCTGCTTTAGCAAGTTTTGTTATATATATATATATATAAAAGGTGTAACAGGCATAAACAGTATATAATAGTATATTGTATTGTTATGAACATGTGGTACGTTTGATATTTGATGGTGTGATATTAATTTAAGCTGAACAGTGTTGTAGTTATTAGAATATGCCTCCACGTAAAAGAATGTCTGTGAGACGGGGTGGGCTAGATAGGGATGTTGACCCTGAGACAATAGAGTGGACAGTAAATAACCAAACTTCAGGTCAGATAGAGAATCCACCAATGGTTCAAACTACTGATCAGACGGGAATTCCACCAGTGGTTCAACTTACTGGTCAGACGGGGAATCCACCAATGGGTCAAACTCCTGGACAAACGGGGAATCCACCAATTGGGTCAAACTTTTGGACAAGCAGAGCCTACTATAGCGACTTTGATGATGGAGACTTTATAAACACTTGTTCAAACTGCTGTCTCTAATCAAATAGTACAATTGACTCAGGATCGAGAGAGCATGTCAATAGAAGTTAAATATCTGTGAGATTTTAAGAAGTACGATGCTCGCCCTTTTGACGGACTATATGTAGATCCAGCGTTGGCAGACGCTTGGTTGTCGTCAATGGAGACCATTTTTTATTATATGAGGTGTCCGGATGAACAAAAAGTGCAGTATGCTATCTTTATGCTAAAAGATGATGCCCTTTTATGGTGGGAGTCTGCAGAAAGGTCTATTGATGTGGGTGGAGGCCCAATCACATGGTTGCAGTTTAAGGATGCTTTCTTCCTACAGTATTACCCAGCGATCACCCAGTTCAGGAAACAAGCGGAGTTTTTAAACCTAAAGCAAGGTAACAAATCAGTGGAAGAATTTGAGAGGGAATTCACAAAATTGTCTCGTTTTGCCCCTAAGCTAGTAGACACAGAGTCCAAGAAGACCGAACGATTCATAATGGGCCTAAAGGATGAGATTCAAGGCTTCGTGGCAGCTCTCTCTCCACCAGATTATGCTATAGCACTTCGAGCAGCTGCATTGATTGATAATTATTCCTCCTCTTACTAATGGAGAAAATATAGTGCAAGTATACACTAATTAGTCGATTGTAGCACTAAACAAGGTCGTCTCCTCAGGGAATTTAGCCTATAACGAGTGGTTAATAATTTTGAAATACCACAAAGAACATAGTAAAATAAAATGTGATAATGAGTGTTTGTTCAAGTAAAAGAAAATAAATAATCATAAATATAACAGTAAAGCAGAATCGGTTCTAATTACTCCAGAAAGCTTCCACCACAAATACCAACACGAGGGTTTTCGAACGATTAAAGGATTCGGGGAGAGGAATTCTACAAACTGTTTTCCGTTGCTCACTACTTAAAAACGCTCTTAAAACTCTCAATGCCCAGACTCTCACGGCTCTCTCCCGAGTTACCAAATAAATGCAATAACCCAACTCTCGTTGTGGTTAGCTATAAAGCATTCTAAGGGCACTATAGATTGAACCCCATTCCTAGGTTTTCACGGCTATGTTTCAGAAAGAACGCAGAAAACTATAGCTAACAGAAGTAGATCCACGTACAGTGGCTCTCTCGAGCCTCCAGTGAGTTTGGATGCTAAACCCGTAGGCCACACAAGTTTAGAGAGATATAGAAAATGAAAAGCACACTTCTATTAAATCAAAGCTCTAAGGCATTCAAAAATAGCAACAACGTAATACAGAGAGTTTTCAACTCCTCCCCGAAGAAAGGGGGTTAGTTCATAGTAGATCAAAGAAAATAGAATGGAAAGGTAGAACAATGATCCATCACTGTAGGTAACAGAAAGAAAATCGAGAGCTTCCTCACGTGAACAGTGCGAATCCCGAGAAAGAATATGTCCCCTCATTTTCCTTCGTCTATGGAAAAACACGTCATTTAGGGAACATTCCCTAAAATCGATGTTTCTAGAAGATGACAATCGGTCTGTCCTCCCCCTGTCAGCTTGGGTGTCTTTTTCCTTAAGTACCAGGCCTTTAATTTAGGGCACCTGTGGAACCTTGCGCAGATACTGTACAGACGCAGTAACAGAAAGGTTGCTTAATCGGGTTACTGCTTTATCCTTCCCTCTATAGCATCCAAAACGCTTGCATGCTCTCAATTTCAGAATTTCCTTTCTCAGCTTCTAGCAACACCGCGTTAACCTGCTAGCGCCTCAATTGCTCAGAACACAACATGTTTTTTCCTGCATCAAACATCCAAAAATTTAGCATTATCTCAAGAATTTGGATGAATCTACAATTATCTATGCATTCAAGGCTCTCCCTAGAAATTCTTACATTCTCACAACTTAATTAACTTTAATCTCACATATCCATACACAAATGCCCTTAATTTGACCCATAAACTACTCTATATTTTGAGTTATCACACCCCCAAACTTGAAACCTTGCTTGTCCTCAAGCAAGACTACTCTAGCATCCCAGAACTATGAAAAAGCCCTCCTCTGATGGACATGCATCTTACTCAAGTGCTGCTTTCTGCTTTCGCACCTACTGCAATTACATACTAAAGTTTATGAATCTGCTCTGGCGAAAAGCATCTGCAAGAGAGCTACTAAACTTATGCTCTAGCCCTAGCAAAGGTTCTTTCCTACGGCTCTAGCATCACCCTACTTTCCTCCTCATAAACATCAACTCACCTAGAGATATACTTCTCAAACTCCCTTTCTCTTGCCTATACCACTACCTTTTTATTACCATTCTAGCTTTCAACTATGGGCTACTAGCCCTTCCTAACCTTAACCTCCTTAGAATATATATTTTTTCTTTTTTTTTAAGCTGAATTACAAGGCTAGAAAGATTCATAGTTATACATTAAAAGCTTGACCTTTTGACAATAAAGCAATTGCACACACCCCCAAACTTAGAAAAAAGCATTGTCCCCAATGCGACTGAAAGTTGTGTAATGGATGCTGCACATACCCTAAACTTAGTACTAAGGAAAATGGAGTTACAAAAGGGGCATTTTTTGCAAGTAGTATGTATATGGTGTAAAGGGACATAAAAAAGGGTGTGAACTAGAAGGAATGACTCTATGGTGATAATAAGGTGGTATATGTGCTTGGATAGGACAGATATTAAAGCTCATCATCTAGTGCTCTCTACTTTTGACTTGTACTCACAGGGTGCTGCTAGAGCTTTCGTACTGAAATCTAAGCTAGAGTAGAGCAGAAGCTAATGTGCTCGCAATCGGATCCTTTTGGCACAGAATTACACTCATTACCTAGGATGCACCGACAACATTGCTACTTAAGAAATCAGAGCAAAAGTAAGAGGTATAGAACAGCAGTAGAGAACACAAGCATAACTCTATTAATTATGCTCACAGAAACAAGGGGTAGAAGAACAGAGCGATTATCTATCCTATCAGCAAAATAAAATTGAAACTAAATGCAAAAAGTAAAAACAATACAGAAAAGACAAAATTTAAAAGACAGAATGGAAAATGGGAAAAATTTAAAGATTGATTGATTGATCGGTCGGAGTCCACAGAAAGAAGAAGAGGTTGGCCTGCGGCTAGTCAAAATGAGCAACTTTTGCTTCATTCCCTGCGGAGCTTCCTGTTTGGTCGCCATCATCGTGAGAATTCACCGAGTTTTCCTCCTCCATGTGGATGTTGAAATACTTGGTCCATAGAAGTATTTTTGTATTGGCAGAAAGTTTTTCATACCTATCTTGCAAGGCCTTCAACAACTCTTTTGCAATCATCTCTTTCGCCACGAGACTGCATACCCCCATTGATAATGCCATTCTGATATTTGTAACGGTCTGCTCATCCATTTCATTCCAAGCCTTGTCTGTCATATCCGCTGGTTTCTCCCCCAAAGCCTTGTGTATCTTCTTGCACGTAAAAAGATCCTTTACTTGTATCTTCCAAAAACTGAAATTCTCTCCACTGAACTTCAAAACCCCTTCATATTTTCCCCTTCTACAGTTCGTCAGTGAAAACTAAGTTACACACAATAATAAGAGATATATGAAAAAATACAGTAACGACAGAAGCAATTTATACTGGTTCACCCCAACTATGGGCTACGTCTAGTCTTCCGCGACAACGGGTTCTACTATGATATTGGGATAAATACAATGAGCCTCACAAGCGCTCTACAAAGCTCTCTCTAGATGCCACAACAATGGTCACCTAACTTCTAAGCACTACGACAATAACTACTTAGGAATACAGAATGAAAAACCTCACTAGCCTCAAGAGAATGGGTTGTCGATGATGCTCTACAAACTCTTGTTCTCCTTTTTTCTTCTCTGCCAACAAGCTACTGCCACCCAAAAAATAAACCACCAGCCGCCACTCCCTTCTTGGTTTTTTTTAACTCACGGTGAAACCTAAATTTATGAATAACTTAATAGTTGGGCCTTGTGTTTATTATTTTTCTTCTAGGCCCAACAACTAACATCAGCTTAACCTCTTTTTTTTTTTCTTTTCATTCTTTCTTCCCGATTCTTTTGTATTCAATCCCAACATTTACATTATTTGTTCACCTTATCTGTTCACATTTTTTATTCACCGTTTGGGTATTTGTTTCTAGTTTGTTCCCCTGTTCGACGTGTTCATCTATATGTTTCGGGTGTTAGTATTTGTGTTTCTAGGTACATTGTTTTGGGTCTTAGTATTTGTGTTTCTGAGCACATTGTTTTGGGTATTAGTATTTGTGTTTCTAATTACATTTTGTTTATTGATGTTTCTTATATATTCTTTAGGATTTTTTAGTACCATCTTCGATAATGATTTTATTGTTTAATGAATATATTTTTCTTTAGATTTGTTGTTATAATTCTCCTGAAAATTTATTGGGAAAATATTTGAATTAAAAAATATAGGTAAGATTATAAAAATATTTGAATTATCCAATAAGAGTGGTAGAGAAAAATATAGGTATGATTCTCCTAGAAAAATAATATATTCATTATTTTTACGTTGGCCATTATTGAAAACTTAAATTGTTTCGCCATGTTTTGAAATTGCCTATTTTAAATGACTATATCTATTGTTATCCCGTTAGCTAATTTTATGTATATTTTGAAAACTCATGTTATTTAATCCTTTGCTTATCTCATTTTTTTAATGAAATTGCGTTGTACCCTTCTTCAAACCCTCCCTCAAATAACTCATTTTGTTATCTCTTCTCTATCTTTCAGCATATATTTATTTTCTCTATCTCTTCTGATTTTTTTTTCTTCTCTCTACAGTTTTTTCTAAAATCGTGAACAAAGTTGGAGTCTTAGAAGAATCTTGACTACAATAACTCATTATGAAACTCCCCAATTATGTGATTGATTTAATTTAATTTAATAATATAAAGAAAGCAACAAATAATAAAAAAAGATTCTTTCTCTCTCTCGGTCAATCCCTCTTCCCCGGCTTTATTTCCTTCGCCCCAACTAGCTCCATTTTTTTCCACCATATTCTTATTTCTCTTTCTCCGATTCATGACGATGATGGAAGTAGGCCGACGATGGTACGCATCTCTCAAATCTCTCTATGTTGTGGACTCCGACGGAAAGGTCTCTCAAATCTCTCAGATCTCTCGAGCTCGCTCTCTCGCTCAGATTATTGAGCGAGAGCGAAAACGAGGAAGAGATCTGACCGAGAGAGCTGAGATCCATAGTCCACACTCACAATCTCGCTCACGATCTCGCTCTTGCTCGAAATCTGAGCGAGAGCGAGAGATCTGACTTACCGTGAGAGATCAAGAGTGAGAACAGGTCGAGAGTGGGAGCATGCCAAGACCAAAAGCGAGAGAGACGGGAGGGAGATGGTGGAGCCTACCGGCGAATAAGTTTCTTCCCCGTAAAGCGGAACCCTTGAGGTTGTTAGGTTGAGAGAGATGTGGGGAGCGAGAAAGTGAGGGGTGGGTTTTCTTCTATTTTTAGGAAACTTTTACTAAAAGTTGTTGACTTCTTTTTAATTTGTGTGAGATGTTATCTTCTTAAAAAGATTCTTAACTTCTTTGAAATAAAATCTGACAGCAAAAATTAATCTTTCTATTTTCCAATCATAATACATGAAGACTTGGCCACATGACAATTGAAATCAAAATTAAGATTTTAAGTAGAAGAGAAAGAAATAGGAGGGTGGGAGAAAAATAAAATAAGAATTACAGAAGAGAGAGAAAATAGAGATGAAGGCAGAGAGAGAATGTGAAAAATGAATCGAGTGTAATGCAAGTAATTTGATATACAGGGTCATGTTAACAAAGATTAAATTTTGAAAAAAGTAAGTAAAAAACAATATTACCTTGGTAAAATGGCTATTCAGCTCAAAAACCCAAAAAACAACGATTCTCTTCAAGATGGTGACTATTTTTTGGATTGGATGTTCATTTAAATTTGTTGAGCTCTTATATCATATCAATGTTCATGTGATTCTATCTCAAAATCAATTGGTGATGAGATGTGGGTAGCCGGCTATATAAATTTATAAATCTTTGTTAAGTATCCTACATTTTCAATATGAGATCCTTAATATAATGAAATTGCTAAGCAAAATCGTTAATTAAGACATCTTGCTCATTATTTAGATGGAGGTTTAATCTCTTATCTCCACATTTGTTGAACTAAAAAAAAAGTAATTTTATTTTTCCCCACAAATTCCATCAATATCATTCACATTATGAGCAGTTGTAAAACTTAACTTAATGTTACATATATAAATACATATTTTCTTTTTGCGATATTTTTGTAATTCCCTCTTCTATTAATTTCTTTTGGGAAATTGGAGTTTTTGATCCCACCAATAGTTCAAATTGAATAAATGAACCACTTTTAAAAAAACCTAATTTTTGACCCCACCTCTACTTAATTTTGAACCTCTCCCCAAGCTAATTTACCATAGTACCCTCATGTTTAAAAATGAAGGGAACTCTCTCCAAGTAAAACCCTAAACCCCATCTCGGACGTTTCCTGGCCCAACGAAAATTTCCACCCCATCTCGGACGTTTCCTTTGTCCTAAAACCCTAAATCCCATCCCAGATTGAACGTTATCTCGGACGTTGGACGATTCATCCATCCCGGACCTTACGCTTCCAAGACTTTCTTTTCCATTGTTTCGCCCTACGAAGTCATCGATCGCAAGGTTAGTGGTCAGGTAGATTATAACAAAATTTTTAGAAACATTTGTTGTTCTGATATCATTATCGGCGCTATTTGAAGCAGCCATGTAGATCTAGGGTCATTTTCATGTTGTGCTTGTAGGACTGAGAAATTTGGGGAAAAATCAATCTCTGATTCAATCCCGTATTCAATCCCAGATGATTTTGGTCCGGGATAGAGTACGAGATTGAATCTGGGATCGAATTCGAAGTGTCTGCATTCTGCCTTCCATCCCGGACCGTTTCGTTCCGGGATGAAAGGCAGAGAATAAGGCTTTATTTTCTGCCTTTCATCCCGGAGGCGAAATGGTTCGGGATAAGGTCTGGGATGGAAGGCAGAATGACCTTTCGAATTTTTTTTTAAGTTGGTCTGCACTGAACGTTTTTTTTTTAATTTCCTTGCATTAGTCTTTATCTAATTTTTTTTTTATTTTACCTTTGTATAGGACATATAATGGATTTGAGACTAATTCTAAACCGTGATGACTGGTTTCCGCCCACGTTGACCAACCTTGCCCATGCAGATAAAACCACTTCTAGGCTGAAGGGTAGGTTAACCCCAACCCAGATAGACATGTTTAGGCAAACGTGTTTCGGTCCCATTTTGGACATGGACGTAGTTTTTAACGGACCATTAATACATCATCTATTGTTGAGAGAGGTTGAAGAGCCTAGGCAGGACATCATTAGTTTCGACCTGTTTGGGAAAAGGGTCTCCTTTGGTAAGCGGGAGTTTGACCTAATCACCGGCCTCAGTTATAGGATGATTAGGGTAGATAACGATATTCCTGGCCGACGACTTCGAGCACGTTACTTTAAGGATAGTGTCAGGGTTAAGTGTAGTGAGTTAGAGAAGATTTTTATGGAAACAGTTTTTTACGACGATGAGGATGCTGTCAAGGTTGGCATAGTTTACTTCGTCGAGCTTGCCATGATGGGGAAGGAGAGGAAGCAGTTTATAGATGCGACCCTTTTAGGGGTTGTGGATAGGTGGGAGCTATTCTGCAATCACGACTGGAGTTCGTTGATTTTCGAAAGAACACTTTGGAGCCTGAAGAACGCCGTGAATGATAAACTGCCGGCGTACCAATAGAAGGCGAGAAATGACCCCACACACCAAGAGACTTATAGTCTCTACGGGTTTCCGTACGCATTTCAGGTTAGCGAGCTTTAAGTTAACTATATAATCAAATATATTATTTACATGCATTATTTATTTGACTTCACTGGATTCTAGGTATGGGCTTACGAGACGATATCGACGTTGAGTCTGCGCGTAGCCATGAGGCTGAGTGACGACGCCATTCCTCGACTCTTTAGGTGGTCGTGCACTTATTCTCGTGGGTTTCTTACTATGCAGAGAGACGTGTTCGATAACACGATGGTAAGTAATTATATTGTGGCGGTGCGATTCAAATTTATTTTTTCATTTGGGTCTAATCATAAGTTTTTTGCAGTCCAAGGTTAAGGAATACTTGGTTTCGACGAATGCTGAGGTAGAACACATGGTCCGTATCATGCGTCCACCGGAAGCCCGCGCTATACCTGTCCTGTCGGCTGTACCTGATCCGCCTGCAGTACCTGACCCGCCTGCAGTACCTGACCCGGCTGTTGTACCTGCCCCCGCTGCAGTACCTAACTCGGCTGCAGTAGCTGACCTGCCTGCAGATCTGGAAAGGGGTACTCAGGAAAGAAGGGTGAAGGACAAAGGAAAGAATATCATAGAGGATCCGGTAGAAGAGGCCGAGACATTGGACGATGATGCATTACAGAGTCCTGCATTAGACGATGCTGGACCCAGTTGAAATGATAGCGAAGCGTTACAGAAGAGGTCGAAACGGAAAAAATTCAAAAATAAGATCAGTAGACGGTTGAAGAGGCTCGATGACCGAGTTGGTGCTATCGAGGCCACACTGACTGGCTTCGAGGCCACACTGACTGGCTTCGGGGTCGCCCTGAAAGGTATCCAGAGATACCTGAAGAAACTGTCGAAGGTACGCATTTTATATGTATATAACATTAGGTATGCTTAGTTATTAATTATGATTAGTTGGGTCCGAGATAACGCTTATTGGTCCGTACTTTTCGTGCA